ATAGTGGGTGTGGTTTTACGAGCTTGTGTCCCGCTACTAGTAACAAGCGTCTTCAAGTCGAGCCCTTTTCACTTGTGTGCAAGTCTCGCCGCAACATACCATCTATACAGCTAAGCTGCTCAGGCCCCTACGGTCAACCCTCGAACATGAATAAGACAGATAGTTGCCGCAAACATCAGTGCTCTCTATAAATTGACTAAAACCGGCCCAAATCATTGCTCCAGATATGTTTGGCCTCTGCCATACCAGCCGCCACCCAGGCCCATTTTCAAGTCGGCTCTCGACTCTCTGTGTCGTCAATGTCGTGATTACGCCACTTCAGGCAAACATGTTGGCGAGACTCATTGTGGACGAGGGGGGGTCCGCGGAGTAGATTTGGAGTTGTGGATAGAGAGGAATGAGGTCGATGTGGTTTTGAAGCTCTTTTGCGTCATGGGCTTGCTGCAGATCAGTACTAGTCGGAAGTCCAGACCGTGACCACGACGAAACAGATGGAGGCCTCACACTTGCTCGTCACCTTCAAGTTTACCTCTCCCGCAGAAATTTCATGCGACGCCAATTGACTGGCGCCGCCGTATACCCTACTTACTTCGTTTCTAGGCAGAGCACTATGTCTCTACATGTCTAATACCATCATTGTGTTTCCCGCATCTCCTCCAAAAGTTGACGTCTATGTTGGAATAATAACTACTAGTATTGGGTCTCTATTAGAAGCACAAACTGATTGTTCTTCTCCCACTCCCTGAATTCGGCTTGCAGGTCTTCGCCCAGAGGACACTGGACGCCTGTTGTGAGTTTCAAACTGAGATGGAAGAGATATGCTGAGTGGATTGCATCTAGATGCAGCTTCCTACACTGTGCAAACTTCTTCAAGACTCCCTCCGTGAAGGCGAAACGACCAGCGAGTGAAAATAAACCAAGGCGGGGCACCAGTGCCGGACCGTGAGCGACACGGTCATTGCCCGGACGCGTACAGTGTGAGGCGTGCCAACAGCTCATCCGTTACGAGTGGCGGAAGGTCAGCCTGAGTCTCGTACGAGTCTACAAGGTACAAGTCCTCCAGAACTTCAAGTTGTGCGAGAATATTGCAGAGGTCGCTTGTCGCTAAAGGTAGGTCGATACTGAGGGATGATAGAGATTGTCCGAGCTCCGAACGCTGGACGAAGCTGCAGAATTCCGCTTGGTTCCAACATGGGTGGATCGTTGTCACCGGTGAATGTTCCTTCAGTATCAATCGCGTCAGCTCGGGAAAGCAGAGCGAAGCGAGCACGCGTCCCAGACTGTGGGTGGTATCTGGGATGTCCGCTGTCCGAACCCGCAGCGTCAGCAGCTTACTCGCCACCCTTTGCGGCTGTATCAGCGCCGTCGGCGGGTTGTTATTCAGCCCAAGATATAAGTCCAGCAGTAATGTGCTGCCAGATGGAAGGCTGTCCAGGCGCAAAAAGCGGAGATGGGCCGGATCGAAGGCCGTCTTATGCGTGTAGAACGAGAAGTGTTGCAATTGGCTCCATGGGAGTGCAACGATGCAATTTGCCAGTCCGGTATACACCACCGTTTGTAGCCGCGGGGCATTCGAGAAATAGTCGAATGCAGGGGATGGTGGCGACGGCCAATAGTCAGGGGTGGTAATCTCCAAAAATTCTAGGCAGTCCAAACGGTTTTGGATAGGAGCGAGCAGCGTCACTGTCTTGGCATTGAAATCCAGAGTAATGTCCTTCCACCGGGGTGATTGCTTTATGAGTGACTCTAGCAAGCGACGAAGATGTGTGTATCTAGCACCATCCGTCCAGATGGAGGCCCACGTTGCTTTGACTTGTAAAATCAGCGGATATTGACCGCCTCGAGACGAAGCCGTTTCAACCAAGTTCAACGATGTTTGCAATACAGCCATTGACGTGGTCAAAAGACGGCCATTGACAACAAGCTGGCTCCAAAGACTTGGCGTTGCTAGTGCTACTTCCCGCCAGCGCAAGGAAACCTGGGGGGAATCAGCGCTTGCCGATGTCACTCATGAGATGAAGATTGAACTCACTTGCACGAGAGAGTGAAGGTTTGGATTAACCACCTTCCTCAATGCCTCTCGAGGGTCTATGATTGCCTCCATAGTGTCGCACATCTCCGCAGGCGACACGAGTACACATAGCTCAAAGATGTAGGCTAGAATCTCGATTGGAAGGAAGCGGATAGGCGACGTCAGGAGGTTTTTGCACTGAGTTTGGTATAACACAGCTTGGGCGCGTTCCTCTTTGGCCGTCTGAACGAGTCCTTCGAGCAGAGCAAGGTGAGCGTCATACCCGGCAATAGTCGCAGCCACAGCCTCGAGTTTGGCAGGAATATCCGGAGGAGTTGGCAGATTCAAGCGGGTTATGGAACGGAGGTTTTCGATTTGGGAGGCAGAAGGCAGGCCGAGCGCCTCCCGGGCGGAACGAACAGACAAAGCAGTTTGTCATGGCGGTTAATGGTAAAAGTGTGATCCGTGACACATTCTTCTTCCGCACCTCCACCACAGCCCTTCCGGCCCCGAGAACCCGTCCATCCCTTCTCCTTGACTCATATACTCATCGTACACCAGCTACGCGAGCAGCTAGGTGCGTTTCACGGTTCGCCACGCGAGGTTTAGCTGACTTTGCTCCGCCTCAGCAGACTCTCTTTCTCGCTTATGCTGAGCGGCACTACTGCCCCGACCAGCGGCGGGCGCAAGCTGTTGGGCGACGAGAACTTAGTGTGACATGGCTGGATTGTGGATTGCTGGTGTTAATGGTGCGTCAAAGCACGATCTTGTCTTCCTTTTTTTTTGCTGACACTCTTTCTGCACAGATTCCCTTCAAATCCCCGTCCGATGACTACAACGGGGACAGCACATTCAATATCGCCAACTTACGAGTCCTGCGCTGCCAGGAAATACTCGCGGGTCCCACGACAACGACCGGGAAACAAGCTCCAGCTACGACTGGGTATGGCAGAGAGGAGAGAAACTCTCTCTGAAACGGCCAGCGTTGGTGCGTCTAGCATCCTTATCGCAACTGCCAGTAGTCTTACTATGCTTTTAGGCAGACTGGAAAGCGCCAGCGCTATAGCCTCCTGGTAGCACATCCACCAGGCACGAGCAACATTACCGTGTCTGGTGCCTCGTCATATTCCCTCCTCTGTCCTGTCGACACCTTTGCGTCCGTCTTTCCTGCAATACGGTCTGGAAGAGGCGCTGTTTTCCTTGAAAAGAGGACTATTTTCGCCCATTGCCCCCAAATGATGACCGTCGCGACAACCCAGTCCAATACCATACTTCGCCCATATACAACACCCACTCGTTTCTCCAAATCTGCGCAAGCCCAACTCCTGCTTTTCGGGTCATTTGCAGAGCCTATCCCTGCTTTGACGACACCTTTTTGTCGACTTTGAAGTCGCATGGCCTACGCCTCTAACGACTGCATCCCATGGCTCATTCGACATCATTTGCGCTGCTCAATCACTTTCAGGTACCGCAATCGGCGAGAAGGGTCTCGTTGACGCCGTTTTCGATAACGATGACGTTTGCACTAGTATCGACTTTGCTTCCATCTTGCAAGCAACGACTACCCCAGAATTTTTCTCTCGATAGCCCTTTGCATATACCCTCGTCCATCCCCCGCGTCATCCCTCTACGGTCGTGTTCGACATGGTTCGTGCAAGTACACCATCGCTCCCTTCTAAATGCGCTTTCTATTACAAGCTATCATGATGTAGGCATGTGTAGCATAGCAAACAACGATGAAAACAAGTGGAACGACTAATGAGGAAGAAAAACTTGGGGATGGATGAGAAGAGGAGTATCGAAAGGAAGTAGTGCGAGTAGCCGAGGTCATCGTCAGATACAAAATGGCATGTCAGGAGACTTTGCAACTTTTCGCCTCCGTGAGCTGACAGGATAACGCGGTGCCCAGTGCGCACCGTGGCCGCCAGAAGCGACCAGCGGTGTCCGCAGGGATAGCATCGTTCCTCGGAGTCCACGCTGGGCGTCGTTTGCGGAGCACGGGTCTTGGGCGCAAGCAAGCCGAGATTGCAGAAGAAGCGAAGGAGAAGTGGACAGGAAGGAGGCAAGGTCTGGGATAGGGATATTGGCGTTTGCGGGCGGTAAGGATGTGGTGTGGTGTCGCCGCTCAATGCTGGACTGGAGAATTTGCTCTTCGATTTCACCCTTCCCGGCGTCGCCCCGAGCTGCTACCATGATGGTCGCTGCGCTGTGTTATGGCGAAGGCAGCAAAGCGGGCGACGTCGTGGATATAGAGCTCGTCGTCGTGAGCGGCGTTAACGATGGTTGGGGTGTCGCAATGATGAGCGGCCATTGCAGCTCGCCTTTGAGTGGATCCAGCCGTCGCTGCCAAGGAGGGCTCGCAGTGGTGAGTGAGCTGCGGCAGCCATAAGTGCAGGCGAAACGCCGGTGACTGTCATCGTGGTCGGTCACCCATCTTCATCGTCAATTTGGTGGGGGACAGGTTGCCCACAAGGGCTGCAGTTCTGCGTATAGACCTGGGGCTCGCCGTTGGCGACATAGAGCTCGGCCGGCGGGCGAGGGATGTCTGGGTAGGTAGTTTCCCATTTGTCGTGGTCTTTCCAAAATGTCAGCATGGAATGTGAATGCAGAGCTCAACAACGCACTTGACGTGCGCCCTCGCGCCCTTCCCTGCGCCCAGTACGTTTCCTCCAATGCTCACTTCAGTGCTGGCTGCCGACAGAACGACCACAAGGCTTTCGCCTCTGTAACTCCGTCAGCACGGCTCCCCAGAATCCCAGATCCGCCTGGGCAAAGACGGCCACGCACGATGATCGCGCGAGGCTGCGGATTCTCCACGGCCGCGTGCATTGGGGCGGATAACGTGGTCGACGGAGGAGATGTCTTGACGGTGGTGGTGCTGAAGAGAAAGTGTCACAGCATCTCTTGCTTGATTCGGAACGACCACTTCAAGTTACCGCTCTGACATCCGACTGAAGCGCACAATGTTGGCGGCGCTGACAAGCCTCAAATGCTGTCTTCATGCTGTCGTGGCAGCATCATGCTGTTTCTTCTCGCCGTCCTCTCGTCGACCCGCGCTCAGCTTGGGGCCTTTCGCCGCTCCGCTTTGCAAGATGATCTCGAATGCACCGACATAAACGACTGCAGGCGGCTCTTCGACATCGTCTGGGGCTGTCTGGTGACGATCTTTCTCTGTATATGGGTCTCCGTCCACCCAAATGTCCCGCCTCCCCGTCTCGCGCGACCACAGAATGCAGCTGGGTTTTTGAAGCTGGCTGAAATGGCAGGTTGTCGGCAAGAATGGGCCGCTGCTGCGTCGGCTGAAGCTCATGTCGGTGGCACTCATTGCGCCTGAGCTCATTCTTGGCTTTGCGGCCAGACAATGCTTGATGGCGCGGTCTTTCTCACAAGGTGTGGCTCGAATTTGCTCTCCTTCAAGTGTTGACCCCTCCTTTAGACTACGGGGTCTCGCTGACCCATGGCTTCTTCATCGTTATGGGCGGCTTTGTCGATGTTGATGAACATCCTATTGTGACGAAGGAGCAACTGTCGACACCAAATGTGGTGCAAGAAATCCACGCCGTCAAAGAGTCCGACATCGATGACAAGAGCAAAGGGGACCTGTTCTCGAAAGGCATTGCCCTTTGTCAAGGGCTTTGGTTTATCGCTCAGTGCATCGCACGAAGGCTGCAGCGGCTCCCTCTAACGTCGCTCGAAGTGGCCACATTGTCATTCGCGGTGCTCAACGCGCTGACCTGGCTATTCTGGCTCGGTAAGCCGCTCGATGTGCGCAATCAAATCAAGCTTCCGGTCCGCACCAGCCCCCCAAACCACACCGCCAGCCCTCCGTACCCCGCCAGCGCCTCGTGGCTCGACCGCTTCCTCAGTGTATTCGGAAACGCCTACCACGAGGCCGACTACGATCCCCTGTCCAACACGGCGGTTCCCACGTTCTGGTGCACCACCGTTTCCAATTACATCGACATCCGCAGCTCCACGCGGGCGCATTGGCTGTCGTGGACGCTCACGGACGCGATCCCGTTCTTGTCCGGGACGCTGTTTGGCGGCATCCACTGCCTCGCGTGGCGCGCCGCGTTCCCTTCCCCTGCCGAAATGTGGCTCTGGCGTAGCTCCGCGCTGGTACTAACTGTGGCACCCCCGGTCTTCCTCGCGGCCTCGCTACTGTATACCATTTCTCCGGAGGGCATGCTGGGCTTTGTCGGTGTGTATTCGGTTGCACGGGGCATCCTCCTGGTGTTGCCGTTGTCCGCGCTGCGACTGCTCCCACTGGAGGCATTCAGAGATGTAGATTGGAGTGTCTATATTCCCCACTTGTAGTTGATGGTCATGATAACTTTACTGGAAAAATACTCCAAAAATTCATTGTTTATTCAAGTCTCTTCCGACGTGTCTGAACATATCGTTCTGCTACCTCATTCGTAGTCTTTCCCAAGCCCATATCTGTCCACACTTTCTGATTCAACACACGCAACAGATATCTGAGCAAGTCCTTCAAGTTGTACTGGCATACAATCCTGATTCATACCTACTACGTTGGTAGATTTGTTGCCTGTTGGATTCCTCGCTCTTTCCCTCCCTCTGTGAATCGTTGCCGCTGCCGCCGGCATTCTTGCGTTGATTTCCGCGCCACGTTCAAGTTAGCATCGGCACTGGCTTTCAACGGGCCAGCAGCCAGTTGAAGTTGTTGCGAAAGAAGGAGGAGTCGTTATCACTTGATGCCTCCATGCCTGTGTAAACCAGTGCGAAATACTCCTCTGCTCCCTTCCGGTTATTGCATGTCACAAACCAAGAGCGCAATGCAATGCGCGAACTGATTCCCTGCACTATGAATTTTCTCGGAGTCTCCTTGGGTGTCGCCGAAACAAGGAGCACTAGCATGTTCAAGGAATGAATGAATTCGTTGATCGTCGACAAGGCAAGGCGGAGCTGCAGGCTGCGGTTCAGATTCACATTTTCTTCAGCAGCGCCTGCGGGAGGAATATTCCCGGTTGGCTCAACAGCTTCAAAGACGACGGTCCGGAGCCGCGCAAGAGGAATGTTGGTCTGGACACAGGGCGGGTCATGGTCTTGGTCTTCGAACGAGGCACGTCGTTCCTTCGTCCATTGGCGGGCCCGGCGACATAGCTCTGCGGCCAACGGGAAACCAGTGGAGAGTTCGTCTCGGATCCGCAGCTCATGCAGGCCCGGTAGGCCGCCCAGGATGATGCCGAGGAGCGTGGAGTCGTCAGAGATGATGTGATCCAAGCAAAGCACGGTGACGCTAGCAAAGTGCCCCGAGGCAATGGGCCAATGGCGTGCTGCACGGTAGGAATGCGATCCAAATTGAGAGCAAGGGGGCCGTGGAAAGAAAGACGCTCGAGGACGGGCGGCACGACGAGTCGGTGCCGAGTCCTAAAAAGGACTTCCCAACTTGAATTTGGCGACTTGCAGTCAACGGTAAGGTAAGTAAGTGCGTGCAGTCGCGGAAGACTGGCGATTGCAGTGCCTGCGTCCAGCTGGACTGATCCCAACGGTTCAGAAAAGGCAAAGACCTCGATGGCATTGAGGCTGCTGAAGTCGAAAGTGGCGATGGTGCGCAATAGATTCTGACTGTTGTCGCATGCTAAGATGCGCACACGACTCCAGTCCACGTTCTTCTGGAGGCGGCGGAAGCTACTAGGACGAGGGCTGGCGAGGCGGACAAAGCGCAAAGGAGCCAGCTTGACTGCGGCAACAAGAGACTTGTTGTTGGCATCATACAGTCTGTTCTCAAAACCCAACGAGAGGGATTCCAACTGGAACGGCTTTTTTTTTTTTACTCACTCCAAAATCTCCATCTCAACCTTCCCCACCCCTCCTTCCGTCGCCAGCTCCATTGAAGCTTCCCGCTCACTGCAAACGGCACTGCCCATCCCGGCCTACTTACCTCGCGCAACAACTCTGTGCACAGACACGCTCCGACAGCCAATGAATGGGCTTCGTTCTCTCGCTCGCGTCCGCATGCAGCACATGCTCTTCGCCACCAAATGCTCGCCTTTCTCAACTCCGCTTTCCCTGTGTGGACTTACGTTCCGCGGCCATTTACGATGCATTCGCGCGAACAAGCCTGGCGCGTCGTCGACTCCCTCTCCGGTCTTTTCCCCCGCGCTGACGGTCACGTGCTCATCACTCCTTTGAAGACGACGATAAAACTCTGCTACTTCCTCTCTTATGGCTCCATCGACCATATCTCGTGCTGTACGACCGTCTACGGATGCGATATATGTTGTGTCTCTTGGGCATGGCGGGGAGAACGCCTTTGGATAACGCGCTTTTGCTCGCAAATGGACTTTGTCGTGTGCGTGGTCGCGAAGTTTGGAACAGGTGGCGGGACGATTGGATGTGTTTGGCTAACGAGATTTCGATTTGAAGTCGCTGGTGGGTGTGTACCCTGTGGTTGTTGCGGGACAGGTGCGTGTTTTTGTCCATATAGGCTCTCCGAAGTAACTGAAAAGTCCTTTTACTAGTAAGCACTCTTGTCAACTTGCTGACAAACGGGCGCGTATGGGCAGACACGTTGGCGGTTGTTGCTGCTGTAGACAGCCAATGACGCGCGGATGGGTGGATAGTGGGTGTGGTTTTACGAGCTTGTGTCCCGCTACTAGTAACAAGCGTCTTCAAGTCGAGCCCTTTTCACTTGTGTGCAAGTCTCGCCGCAACATACCATCTATACAGCTAAGCTGCTCAGGCCCCTACGGTCAACCCTCGAACATGAATAAGACAGATAGTTGCCGCAAACATCAGTGCTCTCTATAAATTGACTAAAACCGGCCCAAATCATTGCTCCAGATATGTTTGGCCTCTGCCATACCAGCCGCCACCCAGGCCCATTTTCAAGTCGGCTCTCGACTCTCTGTGTCGTCAATGTCGTGATTACGCCACTTCAGGCAAACATGTTGGCGAGACTCATTGTGGACGAGGGGGGGTCCGCGGAGTAGATTTGGAGTTGTGGATAGAGAGGAATGAGGTCGATGTGGTTTTGAAGCTCTTTTGCGTCATGGGCTTGCTGCAGATCAGTACTAGTCGGAAGTCCAGACCGTGACCACGACGAAACAGATGGAGGCCTCACACTTGCTCGTCACCTTCAAGTTTACCTCTCCCGCAGAAATTTCATGCGACGCCAATTGACTGGCGCCGCCGTATACCTACTTACTTCGTTTCTAGGCAGAGCACTATGTCTCTACATGTCTAATACCATCATTGTGTTTCCCGCATCTCCTCCAAAAGTTGACGTCTATGTTGGAATAATAACTACTAGTATTGGGTCTCTATTAGAAGCACAAACTGATTGTTCTTCTCCCACTCCCTGAATTCGGCTTGCAGGTCTTCGCCCAGAGGACACTGGACGCCTGTTGTGAGTTTCAAACTGAGATGGAAGAGATATGCTGAGTGGATTGCATCTAGATGCAGCTTCCTACACTGTGCAAACTTCTTCAAGACTCCCTCCGTGAAGGCGAAACGACCAGCGAGTGAAAATAAACCAAGGCGGGGCACCAGTGCCGGACCGTGAGCGACACGGTCATTGCCCGGACGTACAGTGTGAGGCGTGCCAACAGCTCATCCGTTACGAGTGGCGGAAGGTCAGCCTGAGTCTCGCAGCGAGTCTACAAGGTACAAGTCCTCCAGAACTTCAAGTTGTGCGAGAATATTGCAGAGGTCGCTTGTCGCTAAAGGTAGGTCGATACTGAGGGATGATAGAGATTGTCCGAGCTCCGAACGCTGGACGAAGCTGCAGAATTCCGCTTGGTTCCAACATGGGTGGATCGTTGTCACCGGTGAATGTTCCTTCAGTATCAATCGCGTCAGCTCGGGAAAGCAGAGCGAAGCGAGCCACGCGTCCCAGACTGTGGGTGGTATCTGGGATGTCCGCTGTCCGAACCCGCAGCGTCAGCAGCTTACTCGCCACCCTTTGCGGCTGTATCAGCGCCGTCGGCGGGTTGTTATTCAGCCCAAGATATAAGTCCAGCAGTAATGTGCTGCCAGATGGAAGGCTGTCCAGGCGCAAAAAGCGGAGATGGGCCGGATCGAAGGCCGTCTTATGCGTGTAGAACGAGAAGTGTTGCAATTGGCTCCATGGGAGTGCAACGATGCAATTTGCCAGTCCGGTATACACCACCGTTTGTAGCAGCGGGGCATTCGAGAAATAGTCGAATGCAGGGGATGGTGGCGACGGCCAATAGTCAGGGGTGGTAATCTCCAAAAATTCTAGGCAGTCCAAACGGTTTTGGATAGGAGCGAGCAGCGTCACTGTCTTGGCATTGAAATCCAGAGTAATGTCCTTCCACCGGGGTGATTGCTTTATGAGTGACTCTAGCAAGCGACGAAGATGTGTGTATCTAGCACCATCCGTCCAGATGGAGGCCCACGTTGCTTTGACTTGTAAAATCAGCGGATATTGACCGCCTCGAGACGAAGCCGTTTCAACCAAGTTCAACGATGTTTGCAATACAGCCATTGACGTGGTCAAAAGACGGCCATTGACAACAAGCTGGCTCCAAAGACTTGGCGTTGCTAGTGCTACTTCCCGCCAGCGCAAGGAAACCTGGGGGGAATCAGCGCTTGCCGATGTCACTCATGAGATGAAGATTGAACTCACTTGCACGAGAGAGTGAAGGTTTGGATTAACCACCTTCCTCAATGCCTCTCGAGGGTCTATGATTGCCTCCATAGTGTCGCACATCTCCGCAGGCGACACGAGTACACATAGCTCAAAGATGTAGGCTAGAATCTCGATTGGAAGGAAGCGGATAGGCGACGTCAGGAGGTTTTTGCACTGAGTTTGGTATAACACAGCTTGGGCGCGTTCCTCTTTGGCCGTCTGAACGAGTCCTTCGAGCAGAGCAAGGTGAGCGTCATACCCGGCAATAGTCGCAGCCACAGCCTCGAGTTTGGCAGGAATATCCGGAGGAGTTGGCAGATTCAAGCGGGTTATGGAACGGAGGTTTTCGATTTGGGAGGCAGAAGGCAGGCCGAGCGCCTCCGGGCGGAACGAACAGACAAAGCAGTTTGTCATGGCGGTTAATGGTAAAAGTGTGATCCGTGACACATTCTTCTTCCGCACCTCCACCACAGCCCTTCCGGCCCCGAGAACCCGTCCATCCCTTCTCCTTGACTCATATACTCATCGTACACCAGCTACGCGAGCAGCTAGGTGCGTTTCACGGTTCGCCACGCGAGGTTTAGCTGACTTTGCTCCGCCTCAGCAGACTCTCTTTCTCGCTTATGCTGAGCGGCACTACTGCCCCGACCAGCGGCGGGCGCAAGCTGTTGGGCGACGAGAACTTAGTGTGACATGGCTG